CACTAAAGTATTAGGATAAATTAAAATAATTTTTGTTAAAAAAATAAAATTTTAAAAAAATGAATTTTTTTTTAAAAAATAATAACAAGGTAAATAAAATAAAAAGGAAATGATAAATTGTTTAAGTGAATCTTTTAAATATAATTTTTAAAGAAAACTGAAATAGTTTGATTTTTTTAATTATTGCAAGTAAAAATAAATTTTTGAATTTTGCCATAGAGTTAAAATAATCCAAATTACTTTTACTAAAATAAAGATTTAGTTAAACAATATTAAAAAAATAAAAACAATATAAAAATAATAATAATGATAATGGATTGTTTGAATAAATATTCTAAAAATGTAATTTTTTTTAAAAATTGAAATAGTTCAATTTTTTTTAATACAAGTAAAAGATTAATATTTTTTTATTTCATCAGTGAGTCGTGATAATTTAAAAATTTTTTATATAATAAAAAAGATACAAATAATAGAAAAAAATAATAACAAAAAAATTAAAATAATCATAATAAGAATTAATTAATTAAATCCATTAATTATTAGCAATAAAAAATATATATATATAAGTTTTATGATCTCATTAGAAAGTTGAGATGATCCTTAAAATTTGTTTAAAATTTTTGAGATTTCATAAAAGAGTCAAGATAATTCTTAAAAAATTGTTTAATAAATAAATAAAATATTTTATGACAAAATTTCAAAAATTTTGTAAATAGTCAATTTTCTCAAAATATTTTCTAAATAAAGATTTTTTTATAAATTTCACTAAAGCATTAGAGAATTTATTGAATACGAAAATAATAATATTATTAATTTCACAACAAAGAAATATTTTTTTCTATAAATAAATTTTAAGAAATTAAATTTAAATATAAAGAAGAACATATCATCAAAATAAAAAAAATTACACATGTTTAACTAGTACCGTTTTTCGAAAAGCTAACGTGAGGGTGCAATACCTTTTTCACTTGTAACCATACTTCCAAACCTAACTTTGATTTCGCAGACCTAAATTTAGTTTAGTAAATCTTAATTAATTTAAAAGATTTTTAAAAGATGATATTTACGGGTGGTTAATCACACCCTATAAAAAAATTAGTAGCAACTTCATAAATTTTCACCAAGTCTAGCGATCGAGTCTCTCCAGACGAAAAATTGTTATGATAGTTATAAACTAAAATATCATCAAAATATATTACGATAGATTTGCCAATGCATGGTTTAAAGATATAATTCATGAACAGCATGAAAATGTTGGGAGCATTGGATAAACCAAATGACATTGCCATCCATTCATAAAGACCATCTCGCATCTTGAATGTTGTTTTCTATTCATCTTCAAGCCTCATTCTACTTTGATGGTAAACACTTCGAAAATCAATCTTGGAGAATAAAATAGCATTATGGTGCTGGTAAAAAAGGTCATTAAGTTGAGAGATAGTAAAGCAATAATTAACTATGATCTTGTTGATTGCCTAGCTATCAACACACATTCATTAGGAACCATCCCTTTTGGGCACCAAAAAAGCTTGGATAGCATATGGACTTGTGTTCTCTCACACGATAATCTCCTTCAAAAGGTCATCAACTTGCCTCTGTAACTTTTCATGCTCCATAAGATTCATCCTAGAGGTTGTTTTATTAAGCAATACAACACCTAAAACTAGACCAATGCAATGTTGTATGTCTCTCATAAGGGGAAGACCCGATGGTATCTTTTCTTAAATAACATCATGTAATTTTTCCAAATTTGGTTTCATAGCTAAAGGAGGTTTATTGTTGGTTTCATTCTCCTTTACTAGAACAAGAACAAACATGTCAACACCCATCTCGATCTCTTTTCTATAATAAGATTAAGTAAGTAAACTACTTTCATCTTCTCTAAAAGGTTTAGGAACATTCACTAGGTTACTAGGACCCAAAATGACCTTGTAACTATCTTTGACAAAAATGTATGTGTTCTTGTACCCATCACATAGAATTTTTTTATCATACGACATTGCAACCATCTTTGACAAAAGTGTATGTGTTTTTGTACCCATTACACAGAATTCTTCTGTCATAATACCATCGTATCCCTAAAAGTAAATGCCAAGTATCCATAAAGGCTACATCACATCAATTTCATCTTTATTATGCTTTCTAATGGAAAATGGGACTAGGCAATGCTTATTAACTTTAGTCTCATTTTTTTGTTGTAACCATGATAGTTTGTAAGGATAAGGCAGTTTGTAAAGATGCAAATATTCCACAGTTTTGAGTTCTAATTACTATACCACGAGAATGGACATTACATTTTCAAAGCCGCCACTATCAATTATCACATTATAGATTTTCCTATTAGTGATACACCTTGTTTGGAATACATTCTTGCAAAGCAAATTTTCTTTCTTCATTAGAGCAACAATAAGACTGCATTGTATAATAAGTGTAGATCTATGATCACCATAAGTTACCTTATCACCTTTCTTATGATCTTGAGGTTCATTAATCTGTTATTCTTTTGCTACCTCAAAATCTTTCTCAAACAAAATTACAATCTTGTGATTTGGACAGTAAGAAGAAATATGCCCAACTTCTTGGCACTTGAAACACCTATGGGTTTAAGTGTTGGTAGCATCATATTGTTACTTGTACAAAGTGGCTTTTTTTTTTTAGGCATTTTCATAACTGACTTAGATACAACACTGGTCTTGGGAATGTTTTCCTTATTGGTATAGCCTTATCACATCCTAAACTTAAAACCACTACTTATAATTTCCTTTTGGCTATTTTTTCACTTTAAAGGCGAGCTTGCACACATCATTGAAAGTCTAATATGGTTAAAGCTGCACCAGGTTGGAAATCTCATATTTCAAATCACCAAGGTAACTTACAATGGTATGTTCTTCTTATTTTACTAACTCACACTTCAACATGAGATGAGTGAATTTTGCTATGTATTCTTCCACCAAAAGATCCTTTTGTTTTAAATTATGGAGCTTAAAGAAAACATATTGGTGAAAATAGTATGAAAGGTATTGTTTTTTAAACTTTCACTTCATCTTGTCTCATGTTGCAATCTTGCATCTGCCTTCTCTTTCTCTTTGGTTTTTTTAGGTTTTCCCATAAAAATAGGCATGTTTTCGAAGCTTGATAGCCACTAACTTGACTTTATGATATTCTAGAGCATCATAATACTCAAACATGTGTTCCATCATGTGCAACCTATCAATAAACTCTTTTAGCTACATTTTTTCTTCAAACTTGGAAAGATTCTACCTTTAGATTAAAATTACTCTAAATGGGTTGGTTTCTCTAAATACAGTTCTTACATTGTATGTGTGGTAGAATACTATCATTAGAATCATGACTGTTCGCACAGTGAAAATGTCAACTTTATCCTTCTCATCACCATTCCTTTCATCATGCCATCTAGCCTCCTCTTCACATTATTCATAAAAGCATTGCTATTGTTGGAGTTTTAATATTTACTACCGCATCTCTTAATGATAGCATCTCTTGAATTTGCTTTAAGGGCTGCTTTAACCTTAATTGCTAAAGTTTGATGATAACAATTAGCCATAGCTTTGATGCCAATTCGATACTGACAAGAAAGGTTTAATATTTTAAAGATTGTTTGAAAACACACTGAAGTTGACTCATGGAATTATAAATAATAGATAGATATTTTATTGGATAAAAAATGGATCACCACTAAGACTAGATACTAAAGAATACAAAAACACTAGGCAAAGAGCCATAATCATGGATACAGAACTAAACTCATCGTTCTATGGAAATCCACCAAAAAGATACAAAGTTAAAAAAAAGGTTATAATCTTAACAGACTATCAAATTGAAATAATACTTAAAGTGATCTACCTAATTTCTAATGAAAAGCTAAAATAAATAGAAAAGACTTGAACAACCATCCAAGCATAGAAAACATAGTGTAAATATAGATTATTGAGAATTTTTGAAATTGAGAAACTTGATTTTACACTCCTTGACTACTAAGATAATGTCTGGATTTTAGGAGTTATCATCAAGCTATTTAATTTTTTAAAATAAGAAACTTGATTTCACACTCATTGATTTCACACCATGTTATCAAGCAATTTAATGGCTAAAATTATTATCCTAGAATTAAGGAAATAAACTCAATTACCTTAAATATGGAGATTGCATTCTAACTTTAAAGAATCATAACTAATCCAGCTAATCTTCTAATCATCTTTAGCTTCACCAGTTTGAAATCAATGAATAGATTGTTACTCAGCAAATTAAAGTCATGGACCTACTTTCCTTTGCTTTGTGACATGAAATTGTCGATGGGAATGCTCTGGTGTCAATCAAGTATATTTATCTTTTCTGTATACATAGAAAAATATATTTATCTTTTTAAACAAGGTGATCAAATAAAATTCATTGAATTCCAAATTAACTAAACACTAGTTGAAATACTATTTGTCTAGATGAGAGAACAAATTTTACTGTAAACGTAAAAATTATAAAGAGTACAAAACATTCATTAAACACACACTAAACCTAAGTTTCTAAATAAAACTAATTTTCATGCTCAATAGTGTTTAAACCCAAAAAATTCCCTCTTCATGTATCACACAACTATATATGTGAAACCTTAGTAAAAACACATCTCTTTTATAAATATCATGTAAAGATTTCATGCATTTCTCATAATTCAAAGGGAAAAACTCGCTCAAAATTTATAAAATCCCATTATTTAATCATAAAAAATTTTTATTTATTAAAAACTCTTACGTGATAAATATGTTTGCCTTTCAAATAAATTTATTTATCAAGTTATTTTTTGCCAACAAAAAAATTTTTAGAATCTAACATGATTTTTAATTAAAATTAGAGTCCAATGTCCAACAATTTATTATTTTTACATTAATTTTATTTTTATAGATAAATATATATTTATTTTGTAAAATTATATATTATACTTAGAATTAGTATTAGAATTAATATGTAGTAGTGTTGAAGGCCTGGTTTTGCCCAATTTATTATAATAATTTTTAGTATTTTTATTGAATTGGTATTTGTTTGAAAAAAGAAAGTTAAGATTGTTAATTGGTCATGCTAGAAGAGTTGGACAATAAAGTTAAAAAGGCAAAGACAAAGCTTTCTTAAAGTAATTGCATAACTATGTATCTGTAAAACTAAATAGAAAATGTTAAGTGGATATTTTCTAGCTATAAAATTACCAAAAAGATCTAAAGCCAAAAGGAAAGTGTAATTAAACATTTACTATTTGGTAGTGCTAAAATGAAATTTTAAAAAATAATAACCTCTTGAGGAAGACTATTCTAACCACCTAATCTTGTCCCACAAACATTTGAAATAAGATTTGAATATGCCATGGAACTAGGGCTTCTATGACTCATTCAATCAAAGTCACCAAATCCTTGGTTGGACATCATTCCCGAGACCCGATATATCTCTGCATATGAAAACCATTATATGTGAGAAACTAATGAAGCTATGAAAACATATAAATGAATAAAAGGAGTATAGCATCCAAAATCAAATAAAAAAGACATAAAAGGACCACAGTGGGTAATTAAGGTTGCAAAGTACAGACAGAACATTAACCATAAGAAAAATAAAATAGATCTATTTTGTTAACCATTTCAAGACTTAGCAAAAAAAAAAAAAAAACCTTAAAATCTACAATATACTAGAAAGAATAAAAACGAAAAAAAATGCATTTTGAATGCCAATGTTGGTTGTAAGAAGGTCAGCTATTTAGAAAAATATTCAAAATTTTGTTTGATGCTAAACAATGGATGTAAGACTAGAAAATAATTTCTTATCCAAACTAATCAAGATAATTAGCTCAACATTCTTGCAAGTAGATTAAACATCAGAAGATTTTCTGAAATTCAAATTTAGCAGAGCAATTGGTCTTTTGTTTTTTTTTTTATGACATTTTTACCTACATTAACTCAATCTCTACTTACATTGCTACTCCTTTTCTACCCTAGCTTTCCTATAGTCAAACTTTCTCCTCAAGACATCAGTAAAACTTGAATCGCAATAAGCTTTAGAAATCCAAAACTTAAGAATCTCTTAAAATGCATCTTTGACAAATGCATAGCACTTTAAATCACAAGGGAAAAAAAATCACACCACAACCCTGATAGACCTAAGGCTAGAATTCTTGATACTTAAGAATGTGTACTAGTTGAAGATGATGATATTTTAAGCCCATTTAATAAAAACAGCAATGATCACTAAGTTACTTTGTTGTAAACAACTAATTCCAATGTTAAGGCACTATCCAAACACAATGGTGTCATGGGAGTTTTCATGTTTTAGCATTGGAACACATAGCAAACTAAAAAATTTTGGATCAAGTGTATGATCAAGCAAAAACCATAACAATCAAATTGATCTAACATGGCTAATTAAAAAGCAAAAAAAATTTCCAAGAAAAAAAAACTAGATCCAAGAGTGACAAAGTAAAAGAAGTAACCTTGATTTAATAGTTGGCTACATATCATACGGACTTGCATGAAAAGTCCAAGCTTTTGATTCCCGCAAACTATACCTTCAACCAATATATACATAAAACTCAAATCGAACTAACATTCAAGTCAAAAACAAAAATAACTCAAACAACTATCACCATGTTATATGTAATAAAATAAAATTTCATTTAACTTAAAGATACAAAAAGACAACAAAAAAACCATCCACTCACTTTGAATTCAATCATAAAATAGCACCGAACAATTCTTATAAAAAAATCAAATAAATAACAGAAACCAATCTATAAAGAAATCTCATTTCAATCACCATCCATGCAACCCAATCCCAAATAATACTACCTTTACATCACTTTAAATGAGAATTAAAGAAAATGCAAACCCTAGAAGAAACAATTTAAACAAATAAGAAACAAAAAAAGAACATAACATTGAGAAAATATTCTTCAATAAGAAACAAAAAATCAAAAAAATAAAAACCTAAACCCTATTCAACAATTGAGCTCCATAAAACCAAATTAAACCTTGCAAAATAGAAACCATTCAAAGAAACACAAAAAAAAAAAAAGGAAAAAACCATATTCAATCGAACAACCAAAAAAGATAAAAACTTGTATCGAAAAAAAAGAAGGAAAACTAAAAAAGAAAGGAAAAAGCACAAACCCAAACACTTCTCTATCTTTATTTCTTTTCTCCATGCCTATTATTTCTACTTTATTTCTCTTTTCAACAAATGGCCAATATAAGCTTCTTGATATTCTTTCAAAAGGCTATGTGTATCTCTAGAATTTTCTTTTCGCCTTATCTTTGAATTTTTTTTTTAATTCATCCAAAAATTTCAAAAAAGCCTTAAAAAGTAATTATCTTTATGTAAAAAAAAAAAAAAACAGTTGCTAAATAGGGATCAACTTATAGGTAAAAATAAATAGATAAAAACCAATACCAAAGAACTCATTGCCTACACTCAAAGAATAACCCAACTATAAGTAAAATCCAAAAACAAACCAATATAGATAATAGGTGTCAATCCCTGATCCTTTAGTGATTCTTTTTATATTGAGTAGTATTGATTTCTTGAATAAAATGCATTGCTATTGAGTAATTTACAAAAAAATAATAGCCAAGCAACTTCTAGAGGGAAATAACTTCATGTAAGTTTTGTCCTTTGTGAAAAGACTTTCATGAAGTTTTATAGGTAAAGTTCGTAAAGTTATTTATTAGAAATAAATAAATAAAAACTTAAATCAAAAATTAAAATTAATAAATTAAAAGATTTTATTACATAAATCAAACGTATAAAATTTGAAAAAAATTTAATAAATTTTAATATATTTATTAAATAAATACTTTTAATAAAAATATTGACAAAAATTTTACTATTAAATAAGTATCAATTAAATTTAAATTATAAATAATTTTTTTAATAATTTTTTTTATATATTATTGATTTTCATATTGAATTCTATCAATATATCGATTTGAATTTTTTATTAAAATTTTTATTGAATCATTTTAAAAAAATTTTACAAACTTCACCTAAATAATTTCAAGTAAGTTTTATCAATTGTAGAGTGACTTATTTTCTTTGTAAAACAAAACTAATAAAACTAATATTAATAAACTAATTTGAACATGCCTTTCAAAACTATAACCTTAACCCTAGGTTTAGCTAGAGATAGCCTAGATCTAATTCCTAAATAGACAATGCCAGTAACTTGGATAAATGAAAAAACTTACCCAACAAGATTTCAAGCCAAATTTTAATTTAATTATTTTTTATTTAAATACTTAATTAATTTGGTTTGAATTCAAATCTCAAAAGGTACAAAATCAAAATCTTTATTTGATTCAAAATTTTTTCCAATTAAATCAATCACACATCTTTAATAACGTCCAAGCGATAAAATGACGATAAATTGGTTCATAAATTCCAAAAATTGATACGTCAAGGATGGGAAAGAAATTTTGATTTTTAAATTCGAACAATGGTAATAAAGAAAAGTAATAAAATGACAATGATAATAAAAATAGAAATCCTTTCTTTTCAAGCACACATTATTGGCGTGATAAAGGTACAAACTCAAACTTGCCTCCAAAGTAATTGCTTATTTAATAAAATATATAACCGCATGATCTTTGCTTTTCTTTTCTTTTCTTTTTTTTATCTCTAAACCGCGTCTTTAAAAACTCTATTTTCTTCATCCGTTATTTTTTTTTCTTTTGATAAATTTTTTCAGAAGAATAGATGAATCAAGAAAATCAAGTCTCCGTGACTATTGATTATAACAAAATCTTAGACCCTACATTCGGAAGCAACTATATTGATTCAGCTTCTGATCATTTCGAATCTTTAGTCAAAAACGGTTTGACGAAAATACATGAGTCACGCTCGGAAGATTCTATCATCAAAAGAAGCCTTTTTCAGGCATGGGACAAAATTTGGGGTTGGCTAAGAAAACAAAAATCGTGGCAATTCATAAGAACTTGAACTCTAGTTGGTCAGGGAAAGCTCGAGCACAAAGCTTTCGGGTTTGCACAAAGGCGGTCGCTGACAAGTGTGGTGGAGATGCCAATGTCAAGTATGCTTGGTATGTTGCTTCCAGGGATGAGATTTGCGAGAATGTGATACATGGATTTAGTTGGTATCTTAAGGCTGCTAGCAATCGAGATTCTTATAGACAAAGCGTCTCTTTGTCTCCTGCAAAGTTTTCCTTTGACAGGTATGCTTTTTCTACACTGCTTTCTTATTGTTTTTTTCGATGATTTTAATTGAATTGTTACGTTCTGTAGATGGTTGCTTCTAAAATTTCTGGATCCCATTTTCGTTTTTGAGAGAATAATTAAAAGAAACTAAAGCTTCTCTGTAATTATAAAAGCTCTTTTAACTTTTTTTCTTGTGTATCCAGGGACAAATTTTTTAACCTGAGTACCATATTGCTAACATATACTATAACATTGATTTTCAAAGTTCTATGAGATTTTTTTTTTTTGGGGGGGGGGGGGGGGGGGGTGTGAGATAAATGGTGTTTTCTTTTTAGTCAAATTCTGTGATGTGAAATAATATATGTAAATGATGCCTAAAAAGTTACTAATTTATGACAATGTCTAATAAATTTTTTCTCATGTTTTACAGTGTGTTGTCTTCAGAGGTTGATGAAATAGGACCGAGGCATTTGTTGTTATGCCGAGTTATATTGGGAAGGCAAGAACTGGTGACCTCCGATTCTAATCAGTTTCATCCTAGTTCCCCGGAGTTCGATTCTGGCGTTGATGATCTTTCAGCTCCCAGAAAATATATCGTTTGGAGTACTTACATGAATTCTCACATCCTCCCTTGTTACATCATCAGTTTTGAGGCCCCTTACTTAAGAGGTAAGCAGGTTTCATTAAGATGCAACTTTTGTATACATTAATCTTGTCTCATATTATTGTATTTAGCCATTCTGATTTGTGCATCAATTAGGCTCCAAATGATTACTAGACGCAAATATCATCAAGCCTAGACCGTCATGTATGAGGTTTCCCACATTGATTTCCATGCTCTCAAGGTATTTAGGTCCTTCAGAAATGGCTTCCCTTTACAAACAGTACACATATTTTCGAGTAAGTGTAGTAAATTATCATCTTTAAACTCCATTGCTTATATGTCATAAACAACTGATTTGAGTCATGGCTCTTATCATTTATTTCCGTACATTTGATTTTTTCAGGAAAAAAAGATTACGAGGCCGCAACTTATACAAAGAGTGAAAGAAATAGCTGGAAACTTATTGTTAGCTGCTGTAGTAAACTTGTACACAAACAAGGTGCAGTTTTGAACTTTTTTGTCTATAGTTTTTTTAGTACTTTTTTCTCTCTTACAGTACCCGGTTTTGCTCTATGGCCAGTAATTTATATTACTTTCGGCTTCAAAAACTTGCTATGGAAGATTGAATTATTGCAAACAATTGGAGTTTTAGCCAATGGGCTTGCAGAACTTTTATATAATAGTAGCATATCCCAAATTGAAATCAGCATATATGCATTAGTTCCTGATTTACGTAGCTATTTTTAATTTTTTTCCTATCTTAAAGCTATGATCGCTTTAAAAAAAAGTATGATAATTTTCACTTTAATTATTTATTGTAGAAATTGGATTGACTTCTTTGCCAAGAAATGACTTTGTAGTTTTGTCAAAAGAATAACTTTGCCTATATTTGTTAGAAGTCGCTTTCACGGGATTAGTTTCAACTTTAAACTTGAGTCGATACCATTCCTTAACAGGAGCATGTGGGTTGGCAAAGCTTCTTAAGCATAATTTTCCTTTGTTGGATGGAGATGACTTCCAACTATAATGATTCTTTTACAATAAATCTTTTCTATTTCAAGATGAACTCAGTTTTCTGATATCAATTTGGTCTTAAATTCATCAATTTCAAGTTGTTAATTGATCTGGTATTGGTTTGCAGGAACTTCAAGTTAGCAGCAGCTGGAGCAGCCAAAGGTTGTTGGTGAAGTTAGTTCGTTAGCGGATGCAGTAGTTGCTTGCGATGATAGAATATGGAGGCTTAACTGACTTCTTGTCAGTGGAGTCTTCATTCTTAGAATGAAAACAGAATCAAATATGAATTCGGTTTATCGATTGTACCATCTATTTAATATATGGCTATACTAGTAATCTTCTTCAATTATATAAAAGAAATACTAGAAAATTTCGATTGTTTTATCAACTTCTTCTAGAGGCCATTGACTTACGAAACCTACTCTGAAGTTGCCAATTAGCCCATTTAAGCAAAGGGCTTTTAGCAAGAACAACAGAGAGCAGAGGAGGAATGACAAATCACAATTTTGATTTTTTCTTTTTTTACCAATTTCTAGCATTCTCTCTTGATTAAGTGCATTCAAATAAATGAACAATCGGCAAAAAAAAAAGTAAATAATCAGAATGTCAAGAACATCTAAAAAAATACAGTATTGAAACAATTACAAAATTATGTAAATTATCAAAAACTCATTGTCACATTTAAAGTAATTTATTAACTTTTTCTCGAATGATAAACGAGAACCTTGCATGGACAATGTGATGAATTTCAACTCATTCAACTTGCCTATATCAAAATCCACGCCTCACATAGCAAAGATAAACTACTTAATCAATCCACATCCACTTGACATCATTCAAAACTAACTAGTTTAAGTCCCACAAGTGCAATAGAGATTGTTGGCCTAGGTTAGAGAGGAAGAGGTGTACACCATCGATGGAGAAGAAAATAGAAGTTATATTGTTTTTGGAGACTGAGAGAGGAGAAGAGGCGGCTGTTGGCTGGCTGCCTGTTTTTGGTTGCTGTAACATGTAAGAAAAGAGAAGAAATTAAGAAAGGTGGACTCGGGAGATAGAAAAAAAGCTGCTGTGAATTATGACAAAAGGGAAGAAATAGAGAAAGGCAGAGCGTAGATAAAAATGAAATTTTTTTTGGGGTTAGGTTAGAATTAGTACAAGGGTGAGATGGATATTCATAAAAACAATAATTTGTTTTATATATTTTTTATTTAGATCGATTTTTAATTTGGAAAATTGATCAAATTAATTGATTAAATTGATAAAAATATCCAATATATATCAAAATCGATAAAACAAATCTAATTTAATATTTAATTGATTAAACTGAATTGTTCGATTTAGTTAGTTCTAACCTACTTAATGTTATCCCTTCTAAATCAAGTTTGAGCATAAATTTTAAATCTAAACTCAGCTCCATATGTTATTTAATAATATTTATTTAATTTTAATCTTAAAAATATATAAAAATATTAACATAAAAATTATTTCATTATTTTAGTAATA